AAAAAAAACATTTATCGGATTTAATCCATTTTATATAATACGCTGTCATTGTTTATGTTAGGCAACAATTTCAGAGCAGATATGATAGATCGATAAAAATAAGCGAATGTGTGTGTTTACAAGCAGTAATTTGAGTTTTGCTAAACTTGAAGTCCTCTGTGAGGGTAAATGACGGTTCCGTATAGGATACAAGTTCAATTCCTGTCGGAGGACCATATTTTCAACGAAATTTCTCGAACATTAAGCCCTGCAAATGTAATAATTAATGTTTAATTAAAAAACAGTTCATTTACTCAAATAATTAAAAAAAAGTATAAAACAGAAAAAATATTAAAATATTTGGTAGATTTATTCCATTTCGTATTATATATATATATATATATATATATATATATATATATATATATATATATATATATAAAAGTTTTAAGTTATATTTTAATATGTGGTTAGAATTCGTTTAATAACACCTCTAATCTTGAATATTTCTTGAGTGTTACATCAGAGTGTCTATGTCAATGTATGTGGGTATATGTACATATCTTTTTCAGTGTCTGTGTATAGTAACTTGCATGCACATTTCATTGTGTATATATATGTGGTTTAATTTTTTTTGTAAAAGGTCGTGCAAATATTTCCTGTCTCGTCACTTTTTTTGTGTGTATATATCTAAATATGTCTGCGTGCTTATGTATTATAATCTGATGGTGTTTGTATTGTCGTTCGCAAGATGTCATAATCCCATGTCTACACTTGTATCCATGTTGTCATTAAGTTAAGGGCAGTCGATCTTAACGTTTATTCCATCGTAATTTCAATAGAAACAAAATGAATAGAATAACATATGTATTTTTTCTTTTTTCCGCAATAATTTTAAAATTTTAAACTTAATATAGATTAAATTTACATTTTTGAAATGGGTAGTTTTTAATTTTAATTTCAAATTTTATCATACAATTTAATACTTATTAGCTAGAACCAATTCTCTTTTAGTATAAACCCAACTTTAAAGCATTTAATAATTATTATAACCTTACTTCATTGTCAAGTTTTTTGAATTCTCGTATACTTGTTTTTTGATTGGTCATTTCAGCTTATGTAACAGTGTTTCCCCTTACGAGGAGTGGTTAATTAATTTGAACCTTTTAAAACCTTTATTCTACAATCTACATTCAACATCATCACTTGATAGGACACTGGGGGTGTTGAAACAAAATGGCTATTTTTGTAGTGATTTTATAACATATTTATGCTATAATTTTTAAATAAATAATTATATTCGCTCTACTCTGTATTGAGCACTCTTTTATAAATAGTAATTGTTGTTTATTGGAATTTATTCCGTATACACCAATATTTTTTCTTTCTTCTTTTTCCTAAACCCTGTTCGACCATTCATTTACTCAAATTCACCAGGTATGCTATGCGTTGTTTATCACTATCCCTCTTGTTTTCAATCTGTCCTGTGAGTATCAGATTCTCCAACTCCTCCTTCCTCAAATGTCTGTTCCTGATGGTAATTTTTCTTTTTGTTTCTATTTTCACTAAAACTTCGTTGCTGCTCGCATGTTCGGTCCATAGTATCCTCAACAACCTTCTGTAGAACCACATTTATTTTGCTTCATCTCCCTTCATCATCTTTGAGGAGACTGTTCAACACCCACGGACATTTCGTAATGTCTCCTTGTCTCTTTAAAGCGTTTCTATTTCTTAGCACTCTGCTTTGCTTTTGGAATGTTTCCTTGGCTATGCCATTACGTCTTCGGATTTCAGTGTCACACTTTTTTCCGTCCTCTGTTAAAATGCTCCTCCGGTATTTAAATTATTTTGTCACTGTAGAAAACTAACGTTTTTACACTGTTGATCTCTGCCATCATCTCTCTCTCTCTCTCTCTCTCTCTCTCTCTCTCTCACAGACATATATACTACAAACGAACACACACACACACACACACACACACACACACACACACACACACATATATATATATATATATATATATATATATATATATATATATATATATATTAATCATTTCACCCAAAAAGCAATGCAGTAAAGCCACAAAGATACAAGGGGTTATTTGGCGTGGAAGAATTAGAAAAAAGGAAACATTATTAAGGAGCGAGAACAATAGAAGAATAATCAGGAAAACAGAAGATATATTATGAATTTTTTATATATATATATATATATATATATATATATATATATATATATATATATATATATATATATATATATATATATATATATATATATATATATATATATATATATGGTGTGGTTATAACGTTCGCTTTCTGACCATGAGATCCGGGTTCGAATCTCACCATGGTCAATTAATTTGTCAGGAAGGAAACTTGTTATTATCGCTCGATCCCACCGTGCGGCACCTTTCGAAAGTGTCTAAAAACCATACCACGGATTGACCCAAGCCTTGTGATTGAAATTGAGTAGACGTTAACCCTAGGGGCCGTCGATAGCTGTGCTAGCCCGAAGTCACAAGTCATCGTGACTGAGGGTTTGAACGTGCTGGCTTCTGTTCAGATTACTGGTAACGCTAGAAAAACGCTATTTTCCCAGAAACTGTAATTAAGGTCTGCCCAGCATAGTTGTAGTATAAACCATAGATGGGCTCTGTGGGTGTTAAAAAGACACTAATGTGCCTAAGCAAGCGTCTGCAATTGGGATTGGTTTGCCGCCCTAATAGACGGGTATCCTCGAATACGAATCGCCAGATATACATATATACGCTCTACCTTTCTGATCTTAGTTCCATTGAACAACATAATATTAGAGAGATATTAATTGATAACACAACAATACTCACAAATACACACAGTAAAAAGAACCTGAAAATATTAGAGGACATTTACATTAAAATAAAGCAATCGACACGTATTTCAAACCAGTCACAGCATATTACAATGCATTTAAACACATGGTTCACTTGATAACATTTCTTTCTCCCACGTGGTCATGTACGACGTCATACAACCGCATTACGAATTTACAACCTGCGTTGCATAGCAAACATAACAGGATGAACATCTCTGTAGTAATGTCCATATAACCAATCTGATGATGGCTCATGTGAGCCGAAAGCTTAGATCGAGGAACAGAATAATAAAAAAAAATATCCAAATGTTTTTGTCTTTATTTTCTCCCGGAACTAAAACCACTTTACGAAGCTTAGAACAGCTCATGATTAAAAATAATAGACATTCATTATCTTTTATATTTCATAATATATGCTTGAATTATATATATATATATATATATATATATATATATATATATATTATAAATTAATTGATTTAAAATATGTTTTTTTTCACTTTTTGTAAAAATAAAAATATCTATAAGAACACCGGATTTTATATCTTACTGTTCTTTTTTTTTATTTATATATATATATATATATATATATATATATATATATACATATATGCTTGAATTACACACACACACACACACACACACACAACACACACATATATATGTGTGTGTGTGTGTGTGTGTGCAAATATATAAAAAAATAGAAAGAAAACGTTAGGTAAATAATCAGTTCTTTGGTATTTAAAAAAACAAAAAAACAGTGTTCCATCCAAAACAAGAGCCGAAAACCTCAATATAATTATTAAAATTGAATTAAAGTATCAAGTTCTGTTTCATCCTCAAGCGAAACTTATGTAGCGAAGGAATCATATTTTTTTAAACAAATAATTATAATATATATATATATATATATATATATATATATATATATATATTAAGAAACAGACAACTTTAAGGGTTCATGATTCAGTTGACTGTTTCTTAATATAATTTAAGGGTTCATGGTTTCTTAATATAAGTTAAGGGTTCAGGTGTCTGTTTCTTAAAATAATTAATATTTGCTCTGTTTTTACATTGAGCTTTCTGGTTTATATCTTATCTGGAATTATTCATAAGGATTACCAAACACATCTTTACCTATATATATATATATATATATATATATATATATATATATATATATATATATATATATATATATATATATATTATGAATATTATGAATATAAAATATCACGCAGTGCGTACTGGTGTCAGTGAAAAATTGCTCGATATATAATAACTTATATTAATAATAAATATATATTTTTCATCACTGGTAGTACAGCACTGAAGTTCATGCGCAGTGCAATTGTCGGGTGCTGATTAAAAACTTATCTCGCACTATCCGGTTGTGGAATTTTCTTCTGGGTTCTTGCTCCTGTCTACTAAGATTTTTTAAAGAATTATACGCAACGTCAAACGTCATCTTCTTTCTCATTTAATCCTGTACCTTTTTATTGTCCTCCCTCCTCAATAAAGATTTTTTTTTTAGATTCTGTCACATTCAGTAAGCCCTTGTGTATTTGTGGGTTTGTGCCTTGCCTGGGGTGAACTGATAACAAAAAAAAAAAAAAAAAAGAAAGGAAAAGAAAGAAAGGAAAAGAAAGAAAGACGAGGGAAAAGATATTGGTCTGAGCCACTTTACAAAATCAGACCAAATGTCAGATGTTTTTTAAGGGTTTTCTAATCGCGCCGGGAACTTTTCAGCATACCGTCATATAACCACTTGTAAGACGTACTGGTGTGTCCGAATAGCTTTAAAGATACCAAGCCTTAATGGTAATTATAAGAGAAACCGTGTCAGGTTGAAAATGAGATACGAATCGCAAATACGTTTCTTCTTTGTAAACAATGTCAAAAGGTGAATATTTATGTCGCTAGGTTATCCAAACGTAACGTTTTCTGTCTACCGTGTGACTTGACCGCTGGCAGGCACAGTCGCCGAAAATGTGCGCCAATATCGCCGGCTTGCTATCATATCCACGCCACTTGTTGACAAGACGGCAGGTATCTTTTTTTATCTTGATTTAAAGGGGCCAGGTGGCCTAACAAAGGGAAAGTAACTACTGATAACCAGCTATCGGATGAGTGTGTAAACGTCTATATTGCTTTCCAGACAGAAATATACCATACACTATCATTCTCTCTCTCTCTCAGTTGGCATGTTAACCATTTTTCTTTTTTTCTTTCTTTCTTTCTTTCTTTCTTTCTTTCTTTCTTTCTTTCTTTCTTTCTGTATGTATGTATGTATGTATGTGTCCACATTCTTGCGTATTTCTGTATTTATTTTAACAGGTACACACACAGACACAAATACACACACATACATATATATGAACTACAATCAGTATGTAAGTTTGTCTATATCAATGGTTCTCAACCTTTTTTTTTTACCCATGGAACCCTTTTATACTTTTAATTTTTCTTGGTGGACCCCATAACCATTCGATGAATAAAAGAAAGCTCATTTTATTTTTTACTAATAGATAAGTTGAGGAACTGTTACAGAAATAGTAAATATATAAGCTTTATTTTGAAGCAAAACTCATTTAATGAAAATAAACTTGTATTTAACAACAAACTTCTATGGAACATTTATGTACATTAGTAAAATAACTCATAATAAACCATTTTAAAATATATGAGTAGTTAATAAGTTTGTAAAAAGTAAAGATTTATTTAATGAAATCCGTGTGAGTTTCTTTTATATTCGGTTCCATCAATGTCAAAGGATTTTCATCCATGTTTTTAACTAAGATGAGAATATCATCTGCATATCTTAAGAGAGGGTTTTTTATAGTTGTATTAAATGTCTTATTTTCAAACTTACAGGTTGTATATTTTAAAACATTAATATTAAAATATATATTAAATTACCTCCCTTACATATTCTTAACCATAATATTAATTAACGTTAATATTAATTAACGTTAATATGAATTAACGTTAATGTTATTTCTTAAAATTTATTTTTAAATTGACAATAACGGAGCCCGTTTCATACGCATTTATAAAAAAAAAAAAAATCACAACCAAAAATTACATTAATTTTTGTTTTAATAATTCAACCCTGAAGATGATCTTGGATGAGAATGAAAGAAATAAACAAACAATACAGCATCTTTCTTCACCAGTTTCATAAGAACATAAAGAAATTGATCTGTGAATTTGTGAAGATTAAAAATAAAATAAATAGACATAATATCTTTAGATTATTCAAACAAACATGCTTGAATGAAGATATATATATATATATATATATATATATATATATATATATATATATATATAGTATTCGTTAAAAAATTATAACATAAACATGTTATATCATAACACTTTCAAGATAATCCGAAATTGATTCTATCTATGGCATAAAAATAAAGTAGACAGTGGTCAACAGTAATAAAAGTTAATAACCAAGTTTAGGATTGGTATAGACGGAATAAAATTCCAATAACCAAAAACACTATTCTTAAGAGAGTGCTCAATACAGAGCAAATAGTATTTCTTAAAAAATTATAACATGAATATATATATATATATATATATATATATATATATATATATATATATATATATATATATATATATTATTTTTATGTGCAGCACTTAGTGGAAAGTGATCAATATCAGGGCCACAATCTCATATCCATGAAACTGAATATATATATATATATATATATATATATATATATATATATATATATATATATATATATAAGGAGTTCACCGAACAATATTTTCGTCCTGGGTAAGACTTTGAACTACACCTGCGTCCTCGGTAAGACGTTAAACTACGTCCAGCAGCAACGCCTATGATGCGGAGGTTTTGAGGAGCGTGGAAGCACCTCTTAATTGCTGGTGTTCTCAGGTCCACCCTGAACAGGGGTGGTAGCACCTGTTAGGGTCCCAGCTATGGGCAAATAGTTAACTATTAGCAGCAATACGTTTTTGTAGGAAATATATTGCCAGAAACAGATTTTTGACAAAACAAAATATTACCAGCAATAAATATTTTTGACAGCATTAAATAACCAATTGAGGTTGATATGCCGTAAAACATAATAAATCAAACCAATCTAAACCAAAGAATACATGCTCTATTCATACGAATCTATCCTAAAAATGTTGTCGGCATTATATAACCCACTGAGGTTGATATGCCGTAAAACAAAATAAATGAAAACAATCTAAAACTAAGAATACACACTCTATTCATACGAATCTATCCTAAAAATGTTGTCGGCATTAAATAACCCATTGAGGTTGATATGTCGTAAAACAAAATAAACCAAACCAATCTAAACCAAAGAATACATACTCTATTCATACGAATCTATCCTAAAAATGTTGTCGGCTTTAAATAACCCATTGAGGTTGATATGCCGTAAAACAAAATAAACCAAACCAATCTAAACCAAAGAATACATACTCTATTCATACGAATCTATCCTAAAAATGTTGTCGGCATTAAATAACCCATTGAGGTTGATATGCCGTTAAACATATTAAACCAAACCAAATTAAACCAAAACCGAACAATATTTAAGATGTATACAAAATTATAATCATTCTCATAAATATATGTATTGTTATATGACTATTAAAAATGGTATGTATTTACTGTTTTTAGATGGTATAAATGTTGCTGAAATTAGATAATCTTAATTTCCAAATACGACCGGTATATCGCGGCAGTGTACATAATTGATGTTGTTAAGGGTTGGTTTCCTGTTTTTTATGATAAAAAATGAAAATGGCGAATTGTTTAGATGAAAGCGTTCGGAACTAATAAAACCATTAGATAATTTTTGCATTCATTTAAATACTGAAAAGAAGACACTTTTACACAAAAATCTTGTTTAACGATGCGTTTACATTTCTTATTTCCCCATCAAGTTGTGCACAAGAAAGTTAGTTCAATCATTTCTCCCACATCTAAAAGAGACACTCAAAAATAGAAATCATATCAGTCAGGCTAGTTATAATTAGTGCGTCACCTAATAACAGATGCGTTATGTTTAAGGGGATTTCCTAAGCATAGCTTAGATGTGATACAAGGCCGAAATTATGTGCACTGCAGTGAGGATCGAACTCATCATTCAGTTGTAATTGATTTAATGAAAGAAGATTGTTAACCATTACACCACGTTGAAGTGTCTCAGACGTGATATTTCAGAATCCAAAACGACACGCCTATGTTTTCAAAGTAACAAATTGCCTTCTGGATTAAAGTTTTGCTTAAAAATTTAAAATAAAATCCTGTTTTCTAGGAATCGTGCATTCAATTCTACTTCGTTCCCCCAATACAAGCCCCAAGAGCACTTGAAGAGGTTAAGTTTGTAATATTCAAATGAACACCCAGAGTTTGTTCCACAAAGTATCAGTTCGGGGAAAAATGCTGTTTGAGTGGAACATCTTCCTTACAAATGGAATACGGATGACATATGGATGAAACGACTTCGTGGATGTGGTTTAGTTAAAAAGGTTTGTAGATGTGGAACTAGAGTAGCATTTATCTGCATATTGGTCATGGATATAGAACTAGTCATTCCCTACAAGACTACATAAATAATTTTGAACTCAATTCTGGAAAAGTGAAGATTGAACATCTCCAGATCAGGCATGAAAACAATACTCTATTTCCGACACCTAATTTGACACCTTTGGATTAGTGGGAGAAGCAGACAAACGTGACAATGGTGAATTAAGCAGATATGTATTGAATTTTGAAATATCCTTTAAGCACGGAATGACAAGATTTTCCCGCCGTTTATTAAAATAGGTCGGCTTGAAATTCTGTCAATGCTACCAAGACATTGAAGGATTGATTTAAATTAAATTAACTCTCATCATTACAGGATTTTGTTTTCATACCATTTCTCTTATTTAATAACACTGGTCAACAAAATGAAACTTTTTTTTTAACTATCAATGTTGAAAGATTACTTTTCAAAGTCAATTTTTTATGCTAAATACGAACCTAAAGTCAGTTTTTGCCTATCAGATCAGATTTTTATGTCACTGATTTCTGTAGTTTTCAAGTTTGGATAGGTAATTGATTTACTAAAAAGGTGAAATAAATACAAGATATCACGTTTTCGTGGCCATTTATTGTACAAAATCAAAACTATTGCACGTCCTGGGTATGACGATAAACTACATCCAGCAGCAAGGCCTCTGATCAGGAGGTTTTGAGGAGCGTAGAACCACCTCTTAATTGCTAGTATTCCCAGGTCCGCCCTGACTTGGAGTGGTAGAAACTGTTAGGGTCCCATCTATGGGCAAATAGTTAACCCCGAAACTGGGGTAAAAATGCGTTTACCAGGAATACTTTGTAAAAAAATTATTATCAGCAATAAATTTTTGAAGAAAAAAAACTATTACCAGCAATACGATTTTGAAAAAAAAAATATTACCAACAATACGTTTTTGAAAAAATATTACCAACAATACATTTTTGAGGAAAAAAATATTAACAGCAATACTTTTTTTAAAAAGCAATTATTACCAGTAATACATTTTTGAAGGAAAAAATTATTACCAGAAATAGATTTTTGAGAAAAGAAAATATTACCAGCAATCAAAACTTTGTCGGCATTTAATGACCCATTGAGGTTGATATACCGTAAAACACAACAAACCAAACTAAAAGTATTGAGTGCAAAATAAAGCTATAATAATCTCTCTTGTATTAAAGTTTAAAATCTTTGGGATTTAGACTTTCTCTGGTTCTTATTCTCAGGTCCATCCTTGTATAACGTCCAACAGTCTTCAGGTTAGCATTCCTTTATTCCAAAATCCTCAATATTGTTCTCCATTGCCTCATCAGACACTTCCTCAAGATTCTTCGAAAAAAGTGCAGATGTGAATCCAGGAATTGGATTTTCAGTGACATTAGACAAACCATTGCTGCTAAAGACTCTAGAAGACATTTTATTCCATTTCTAAAATCTTCAGATCTTGTTATTCAGAAATTTAAAACTTAAAGGATTACCATGGTTTTTGTTGTGGTGTCCTCCCTCTAAAAGTTTATGTTAGACTCTTCCGCCTACTATAAGTTTAGTAGGAGAGAAGATTCGGGGAACAGTGATATAAACTGTTCAACTGTCGAACTCTCTGCCTTGAGCAGAGAGGAACCCGGACGAAGCTTTGCCTCAGGGCAAACTTTCGTCCGGGGAGGTAGACAGTCCCTGAACCCGTTTATGCGGGTTCTAAGGGAATATTCAACCCACGGTAAACTCGGCCTTGTACCACATACATCCCTTATCGAGGGTGACAGTTAAATATTAACAGTGAACAGTGAATAGATTGAGCACTAATTCATTCGATACACTCTTACTAGTCGTGTAATACTCTTCTGGTGTACTTACTGTTTAGTATGCAATATATCTGCAAACCTAGATTTTGTTATTACTTAACCATTTACTTGGTCACAACAGTTTTGATGAAGTTGTTCCTTTATCTGTGGACCTACTGATATGACTCCCTTTAGTTTACCCTCGGTGATTTTAGGGAACTTGGCCTTCACATATTCAAATTCTTCTGAGCTCTTCCTGTCAAGTATCTTCACATATTGTTTCATGAGTCTAAACATTAAGTGAAGAGGGAAGAACTAATGGCTTTATTAATGAAGTACTCTGGACGTTAGAGACTCCTGGCATATGATTCTCGTTGGGGCCACTATGATCTTATGTAGTGCTTGTTACACGACTGTCAGAAGGGAATAAAAAAGCAGCACTATTTTGTGAATCCTGACTTCATTCTCATCAACAGTTCCATCACCTTTAATTCTCCAGATATATTTCAGTTATTCTGAATAATGTATGGCATCGAGAAGTACCTGCATATTCTTGGAGCATTCTTTCATGTTCCCTGAATGTCCTGTAGGAATGAATGGTTTCTTATTGCTGTTGGGTAGTAGTACTGTCTTCAGACTAGATGAATCAATGAATAAACGCCATTCAGATGGTATTCGTAACAACTTCTGACGTATGGTACCCTTTCTCTTCGAACATTCTTCGGACATCTTAGCTGTCAATTCTTCAATCACTACCTCTGAATTCCTGGCTGTCTTCTTGTCCTCTGGAAAGACTCTTGCGTTCACATGCATGGCCAAGGAGATTATGCTCGGAATATCTCCCGTTGACTAGGGAAATCGCTCTTAAGTCTTCATACCATTCTTACTTGTGCATCCCTCTTTCTATTCAGTTAGCTATCTCTTCCTTTTCTACCGTTCCACTTTCTATCCTGACTATTCTATACTTGATAGTATCTTTGATAATATAGAAAAGGCTATTTCTCTACATCCATTTGCTTTATGTTCCGTGACACTAGTGTCCACCATACCAAATAGTTCTCAATCTCTCACGCAAGTAGTGGAATTACCCACGGGTTTCCACAGTAATCCTGAAGGACACGTTTCTCTTCTTGAGCTCTTCTTTACATCTACCCAGACTCATGTCGCACCCTGCAGCTCTGCTCTCTTGGTAACTTCGATCATGCTGTAGTATCTGTAAACTTCTCTTTCCTCTCTCTTTCGCGACGTCTCTTGGGATGAAGCTTTCAATCACCCTATTCAAAAAATTGCCTCTGAGGTTTTCTCCTGGGTGAAAGCCGGCATCGAAGCTTTCACTCCAGCACAGAAATACCAGGTGAAACCACGATCATGTCTTTGTTTCTCAGTTGCATGGTCAGCCGCTATAGCCCACAGGAATCACTTCTACTAGCTGTACCAGAGCGACATGTCCGATTGAAACAGTCGTCTCTCTGTCTCTGCTCGTAATAAGCGCAAGGGTTCCCTGAAAGAGGTAAAGTCAGTTTGTTGTTGGAATAAAACAACGTATAGCCTCTCACAAGTTAGTTTCTAGAGATTATTAGCGGCTCTGTAAGAGTGTGCTGAACAACAGCAAATATCTCAATTCCTCCTCTTTTCAATCATTTTGAAGTCCTGCCATATACAGCAGATAATGTTGAGTGCTTTGCGCGGAAATTCTCTTCTTCTTCCACACACGACACATCTGCGTATAACCCCGTCACTGGGTCGTGTCCAAACGAGGTTCCCACAAAGCAAGCCGTATTAGTCTCTTACCGCTTTTTGAAATGGTTAAAGCATTTTACTTTTCCCAACTTCCTCTCGGAAAAAAATATGGCTTCCGTTTCGTCAGGTCTACCGCTCATGTATTAACAGCCACCACTGAATTTGTATATCAAGCTCTGGATACGAACACTGATGCCCGAGCTGTGGCTCTAGATAATCTCAAAGGCGTTTGACAGGGTTTAGCATGCTGGCCTTCTACGTAAGCTCCAGGGCTACGGAGTCACAGAACGAATGTTTCATTTAATCCAATCGTTCCTATGAAATCGTGAAGGTCTTTTTGAACAGGTCCGCTTCCAGAAGCTTTCACACGAAAGCGAGTGTCCTTCAAGTCTCTATCCTGGGTCCTACGCTGTTTTTAATTTTCATCAATGATCTTCGCGATGCCATCAGCTTCAAGCTAGGAATTTATGTTGATGAAACTACCATTTACTCTTAACTCTCTTAATGACAAATCTGTCAGATCTGACAAAGTAAATCTGGCCGTTGATCTTGCAAAGGATCTTCAATCAGTGGGCC